CAACTCAAACCTTTGTGGGTTTTTAATCACTGACTTACAGTAGAAAGAAGGAATCCTCAACACCAGTATTTCATATACACATTAGAGACTGCACAGTATTGTTACTTCATCTTTAAAAATCATTCAGGCATTGATTGTTTAGTTAGGAAAGATGAGTTCAAAACTGGAAAGTTTCCTTGAAATACATTAACTACCTGTATCTAGCCTGACATCCTCATGTGCTGCTTTCTAGATTAATAAGATTTAATCTTATGGTTAAATCCATGGAAACTGAAGCCAACTAGAAAAAAGCTTCAGTATGTTTTAAGCATTGCAGCACTTTGTTCTTGTTTTAGAAACTATTAGTGACAGCTTGCAGGAACAACTTATAAAAGACTGCTAATAATATTTAAGTACTTTAATCTCCAAGCATTTATCACTGGGTTGGGTTTTGTTTTTATGTTGTAAGTTACAGATGAAAGCCAGCAGAGACACACAGCTGTACCACAGAATGATGTGCTTAATATTGCTGCTTCCTTATAGGGCTTTTTTTCCAGAACTATTATACAATTTAAATCTACACTTCTTACAAGTTAGGTGTAGTTTAAGCTCAATTTCATGCAAAAGCAATATCTGATCACCATCTACTTCAGTGTTTTCATCTTCTTTGCTTTTCCTTATAAATACTAGAACAAATGCCTCTGTTTCACAGCCCTTCTCTCTGGATTCTAAGAAGCATCATAGAGTGGCACATGAAGGCTTACTTGTAAGCAGAGTTGCTTGAATGGCATGCTAGGATATTTTTCTCATGTGTACTTAAGCAGCAATACCCATTTGAATGATGCCTAATAGGAGTATTTACTTTTAAGATCCCTATTCTCAGTAACTGAATTTAAGACATTGAACACTTCTGTATTGAAGTGTTCTATTCCAGGCATTGTAAAATCAATCTCATAGCATCACTTTAATTTTGTGTGCCTATGTAAAGAGTTCTAGCTAAGTCCAAAACATGTATATTGTGAAAATATCAAGATGACAATGGAGTTTTACAAGTATTACATCTGCCAGTAAGGCAAAATGGTTCCAGTCCATATGGCAGCTTGGACCCATTTTCAAAACAAGCCCATGAATCTTTAAGATTCAAGGTTTATGCATTTAAAAAAAAAAACAAAAAAAAAAAAAACCAAACCAACAAAACCAAAACCACAAAAAACCAAAACCCTACTAACAAAGAAAAAAAATCCTGCAAGCAAACATAAAAAGTAACATAGAGCCACGGGAAAGTTCATTTAAAGTTAATGAGAAAGACTTCACCTTGCACTGAAGCTAATGGATATTTCTCTAGAACATCCCATCTAATGAAATGAGAAAAAGAATTTGGGTTAGTACCAAACAATTTAGGATAAACTGTCTAGCCAGATACTACTGATAAGAGAAAGCCAGAGATTGAACAGATTCTGATTTAAGACCCTAGTAAGCAGATTTGCAATAATCCAATTAAGAGAATGGTCTCTCATCTCTTTTAAGACTTCCCAGTTCTGTCTCTGTTGCTGAGCTTTATTTCTCTATTACATGAAGGTAGTGCATTTTAACAAACACTTTCTTTTGTTTCCTTCTCTCCCAACTAGCTTTTTTTAAGGAGGGCAGCAAATCCCGTACTAGGGTTCATAGCAATGTTTAGCACAGTTATTTTTGCTACTGCGCCACCTGTGGCGATCTTTCCAAGAAAACAGTAGTGAAGGATAACTAACAGTTAGTACCATTTATGTCCACACGGGAGTGCTAAGCACGTTCCGAAAAAGGTTCCATTTACAGTGCTTTCAAGTAGATGTTAACATTTCTGGCACTAGGAGTAAGCATCTGTAGCATGACCACTTCGCAACACATTTCTTTAAATGCTCAAGTTAACATTTAAAATCCAGATTTAAATTTATGTTAGGCATTTTAAGAAAGCGCATTAGCATTTAAATCATACTGATATGTATGTAGTGGGGTTTTTTTATTAAGTGTCTGTAAATGTTCTTCAACATGTAAATGCTCTCCAGTCGAGAGGAACATGTTATAGTCACAGGAAAGGGGCAGCTCATGTGACATCTGAGAAATATTACTGTAACTAGGAAAAAATAATTAGTGACACACTGCAAAGTATTGGGCAGATACAGACCAGATATACTGACCACTGGATGGTAGGCCTAAGGGAAGTCCAAGTTTCTCCTCTTTACCTTACTGCAATCTCTTGCTTCTTATGATGAAACTATACTTTAAGCTTCATGGTATTTGTATACAATGATCACCAAGATGTTACAGTTATTAATTTTTACATAGCAGTTGTGATTTATATTTGATAAATTACTATAACAGTGAGAACTAGAATATATCATTACTTACCCCATTTTATCACCTTACATATAGGTCTAAAGAGTCATTAAATACAGCTATACCATCCAAGTTGGTAAAAGCACTTAAAAGCTATTGAGAGGATAGAAAACTGGGGCTTTCTGTTAATTAAACACACACATACCCCTTTGAGAGCTTTCTTGCAATGGGTAAATATTAAGTACTTAAGGGAGGAATGAGCCAGAATAGGAATCAAGTATTTTGAGCTAGAGCTGCTACTTAAACTTTCCTGTTGTATTACAATAGAAGTCTCTATCAAATTCGGCAGCCCAATGAAAGCAGTCTTTACTTGGTTCTATTTCATCACTTTCACATTTTTTTTCCTTCAGAAATAGGAATTAGTGTAGAAAACCCCAAACACCTCATCCTGCATGAAGAAAGCCTGCTTTGCAGATCTATTACAGAAATCCCACTGTCAAAGTGTTTATTTTTCAGCCACCAGATGAAAACCACTGCTTAAGTTCCTTAGATAATGCTTTTCATCATGCTACTTTCAAGGCACAGTGACTACTAATGAAATCCATTCATAACTCCTAAAAGGTAGTATTACTACAAGTGGATTAACATGACCATATTTAACGTATCACAAAGCTTAGATTTTAGCTTTAAAAATGATGATCTATGAAGTAGTACTGATATAACAAGTATCTCGGGAGATCTACTGACTGGTGTTGAACAGATTCATTTATATCACAGAGAAAAAGGATTTTCAAAAGTTTTTTGATACTGGCTTTGTAGCTGTTCAAGGTCTGCTAGAAGCAAGCAAATGAAAGCACAGATATGCCCACATACACAGAACTTCAGGGGCACATTATCAGAGTCTGCTAAACTCATTTTAAATAATACAACCAAACCGCAGCAGAATTTCTTTCTTAACTAAGTTTTTCCAAAAATGTATTGAAAGGAACACTTTTTATTGTATTATTTTGATAATGCACAAAAATATTCTCATGTACAACTCAGAGAAAAGATCCCCTTAACTGAAAATTATTATATTTGAATACTCTATTTCATTTTATAACTTTAACTCTGGACTTTTTAAAAACAAGTTGTCATTATTTAAATGGTGTTCACACTTGTCACAGTTCAAGACATTCTTAAAATATGCAGCATTTAGTTTATATTAGTATCGCCTCAAAACAATGCAGTTTTATCTTTTCATTAGGTTTTAGTGAGTATCTGAAAATAATATTGAGTTAACTGCAGAAATTAATACAGAATATAAATGGCCAAACATGGTGTGCTAATTTTCTACTTTGCTTTCACAACAATACATAACATAAACCAACAAGAAACAGGCAGCTGTTAATCTGTGGTTTTGTTACATGTTCACCCCAAGGTAGTTTCCCCCATTCTCAGCCAACTTGTTTAGATAGCCATTTTAGCTGGACTGCAGCCCTGGGAAAAAAGGTAATCTATTTTTGAGGTCTACCACAGTGTCATTTAATATGAAATTATTTTATGTTATAATTGAAGAAATGCTGCTGTTGTAGATATTTTATCTTAGCACTTTTTTGTTTGGTTGCTTTTTTAAAGTAAGTCACAGAAACGTGTCAAGAGGTAAAAGACAAAGAAATTCAATGGAGAACTATGGCTCCCAAGCAAACCTGCTACATAGCTTCAGCAAGAGGTTGCTACTAAAATTAAAATGTTTATTTTAAATGTAGCCCCATTTTGGACCTGGCCTTGCATTCCTCAAGCAGGTGAGAGCTGTACAACTTCTGCCTGCATCAAGAACTCTAGGATTACTCTTCCCAGTATGTAATTTTGTTTAAGGTATGTGCTTTTGTGTATATCTGCATCTATATACACTGACAGGCACTGTAGAGCTATATACACAAGGCCAGCTGTAATTCAAGATTCATATGTTGAAACTGTGTCTCTTACTAAAAATAAAATTTTAGGCTCCTTGAGCTCAGATGCTAGCAGCTGTTTCTAATTTTCAAATTCATCAGGTAACACAACTATTTAAATATAAAATTACTAATAAAAATGTAAAAATCGGTATATAGTAGAATACATGGGAGTTAACGGTGGTAAGTAGTATTTTAGGGTCCTAAGATATTCATACCCAGAGTGTGTAAAAAAGCCAGACTTGCTTCCAGCTGTACCAGTCACACAAAGGCCTTACCTTCATTAGCAAGAATAATGCAACAAACCACTTCCCACAATTGTGTTATTTTTTTATACACCTCAGTATGCCAATGTCGTGCCTTTACATATTAGCATGTTTTTGCCCTTACGCACTCCAGAGCTCTGAAGAGGAGACTTTTGGGTGCTTCTGTGGATGAGTGATAGTAATGGAAGTGTTACTGTGGTCTTTGGCACCTCTACCTCATTAATAAAGCACAATCCTGCTCCATTTTTTTCTTTAATAGAAAAAATCCCATCAGTGGTGCATTTCATTAGCACTGAAGAGTAGAATAGGTCTGTACAGCTGGATGAGAAGAAAACATCTGAAATGCAATATATGTGTCTACAATTGTCTTTCCATCAATTGCACAGAAGCTTGGTCCACTTCTTCAGTTACAGTCTTCTTAAGAACTTTGGTTACAGCATTAATGTTTTGGTAAAAAAAAAATCAAAAATGAAAAAAACCAGAGCAGATGCTTTCCTTCTTTTCTTCAGGTAGATTTTTCATTGTCCTCTCCTGTCTTCTGAACCCTTGAATACTTTTTGCATGAAGATTTGAAGCAGCTGGGAGGCCAAGATATTGGCCAGGAAAAGCTGCAAGGAACAGAGCCTTGCACATTCTTCTCGAAGAAATAAAATATTGGATACCACCATGCTCGAGAGAGAAAATTCGTCTGCGAAGACACCTTTAAAGTCTGTATTGGCACAAGCATGCAAAGAGGAAAAGGTAACCGTCAGTTTAAAGGCTTATAATCAATTACACTGAGTCAAGACAACAGCAAAAATGCAATGCATGTGCATGCATTTCTGCAAAGACTGAGTATTTAGCCTAAAAACACAGAATTGAGACAGACATTAGAGTCCAAATACAGACTACAAACTGAGCATCTTTACCACAAAGAGATGCTTTGTTGCAGTGGAAAATTCGGGGCAACAAAGCACTCAGGACTTTTCAGTATGAGTGCTTTCAGGCATGTCATCTTTCCACTGATAAGTAATAGTTGAGAATTAGACTAAATGGGCTAAAGAGGTATGCTTCTACTTGAAAGTGTTGTCAACAGCAGCAGCAACCTTCTGAACTGTGTACCTTTAACAACATTTACACAAGAATTGTCATTAAAATTGTAGCAATCACATAATCACAAGGCTCAAAGAGACCTTCAAGATCGGGTCCAACCTGTTCCCTGGCACCTCAACTAAACCATGACACTGAGGGCCACATCCAGTCTTTTTTTTAAACACATCCAGGGATGGTGACTCCACCACCTACCCGGTCAGACCATTCCAGTACTTTATCACCTTTTGTGTGAAAAACTTTTTCCTAATATCCAACCTATATTTCCCTTGACGCAGCTTGAGACTCTCTAGGTAATTTCAGTTATCCTGAAATTTTATTACTCAACTACTGTTTATTCATAAGCTGAGACAAAGAAGGGGTATTCTATACATCAACTACATTAAAACCTCATTAGCTCAAAAAAGATGAGCATTAAAACCTCAAAAACTCAAAAATATTTTAAAGACAAATTAATATTATTTACTTAAATAACAATGAAGCAAAATTCATTGCCAATTCTGATTAAACTTCAATATGGAACATCTTTTTATTCTGAGATGAAGAACTTACTTTAACCTTCAGGCAATTTTACCAAATGCAGGCTACACATGGATTGTGAAGGCCACTCACCTTTTCATTAGCCATGGAGTGGTACCACCAGAAGAGCCGCGTGGTGATATAGTAGGCAATGATGACATCTACAGTATAGTGCTCATGAGCAACCAGGATACAAATGATGCCAGCAGCACTCATCAGCCAGCAGATTAAGTGATACCACCAGAAATGACGTGGTGAGTCTGTGAGACAGGGAGGTGACGGGGAAAAACACAGCAAAAAGTCATCTGTTATTCTAGCAATCCACAAAAGCAAGGGGAAAAGATAAAAAAATTCATTTAAGACTGCTAACTTTGAAAACATAACTCATATCACACTGGTACAGATCCCCTGTTTTGATTTGTATGAATCTACATAATGAATTACACAAACTTACTGTGGTGTTCTTACTTTTTAAAGTGAGCACAAGATGCTCATTTTAAAGAGCACTAGACAATACTGCCACCTATTTTCTAGTCAAATTTAGTTTTCCAGTTAAATAATTTCTAGAATTTAGGGTGCAGAGGAAGAGACAAAATTGAGGTAAAACATACACTTTGGTTATTTAACTTGGTTGTATTTAATCTTTTCTTTTCACAATCTGTTTTAGAGTAAACTCAAGTCTCTAGAATTGATATAACCTGAGCAGAGATCACAAATTAAATAGAAAGACATTCATTTTAATTCTTAGGTTTTAATTAATTTGCATGAAGCCTCACTTCTATGAAACAAAATGCACTGTGCAGAAAAGGGCAGTATGTGAACTTACACCTTTTAATGAAAGATTTAATAAATGGAAGCGAAGCTATTCAAAATGCATTTCAGCCACCTCAGTGGAAAAGTTCTCCTGTACTTCTTTCCCTATTGAAAAATGCCCTGAGTGATCATTCATAACTTCTGACAGGCTAACTGGCTTCATTTCACTCACAGTGGGAGGTTTTGGCACCTCTTGCCTTGTGGGGCAATGGTCAGCCTTTACTTTCACACAATACCAGCAGAAAAGTTACTGATCTCAACAAGCCTACCCAGTAGGCTCTCAGAGGCCTGTGTAAAACAATAACTGCAGTGCCACTTTTTGGTGCAAGTGTCAAAAATATTCTCTTAACTCTCCCCAAAACCCTGCAGACAGATCTCCACCTACTGATTTTTTTTTTTTTTTTTAAGATAAGAAGCCAAGTAATCTCAAGAAGTTGATGAAAACAGCATTGAGAAAGTCAGACATACCAAGGCTAAAAATATGAATAACTATTCTGGTGAAAAAATGTGGTGTGCAGAGAATAAGTGAAAAAATGGGAGAGTATGGAAGGAAGAGATGAGCAGAGCAAAAACTCTGCTAAGCCAGACATAAAATCCTCAGAATGCATCTTATACCAAAGACATGTTACTGAAAGGGCAAAAAAGACCACCCCAAGCAGCCTCTAATTCACAGCAATTATAGGGCTTATGCCCTGGTTCAGATAACATTTTGATTGTTATATGGGAGGTAAAAAAAGGAAAGCTATGCATTTCTCACTTATAGAGCACAATTTCAGTGAAATATATGCCTAACAATTAGGCAGCAGTCAAAGAGCTTATTACAAAAATTTGTATGATAAAATTGCACCAACCCCTTTATATTATAAAGTACAGGAGAAAATAGCCCAGAAAATATTGGGTTGTCTTCATCTTTCCTGGTACAACTGAGTATGTGAGTAGCATTAAAATACAACATAGCAGACAAAACAAGGCCAACAATGATGATTCTTAGACCTAAGTCTAAGAATCATCAGACTATAATCAGCATCTTAAATCACTATTCAAAGAAGAATATCTCAAATCTGTGATTTGGAGTCTATCACATTCAAGGCTGAACAATTAGTGAGGGTGGACTGAACTGGCTGAATGGCAGGGCTTGGAGGGTTTTTAATCAGTGGCACAGTCTACCTCAACCCAAAGCTTCATACTGGGCCCAGTATTGTTTAACTTACTCATCAACAACTTAGATGAAGGGATAGAGTTCATCCTCAGCAAGTTGGCTGAGAATACAAAGCTGAGTGGTGCTGTGCTGCCCTTCAGAAGATCTCACACACTGGAGGGATGGGCATGGGCAGAACCTTTTGAAACTCAGCAAGGGCAGGTTCAGGGTCCTGCACTTGGGACAGAAGTGCACCACTACAGGGTGGGGCCAACATGCTGGAAAGCAGCTCTGCCAAGAAGTACCCGGGGGTCCTGGTGGCCAAGCTGCCCATGAGCCACACCCTCATGGCTAAAAAGGGCAGAGTAGCCTGGGCTGTATTAGTAAGATCACTACCAGCAGGTTGATGGGGGTAGTCCTGACCCTCTACTCAGCCCGGTGAGGCACATCTGGAGTTCCAGGCTCCCTAGTACAAGACAGATGTGGAGCAGGTCCAGTGGAGGGCTATGAGGATGATTAGGAAAGTGGAGCACCTCTCTTATGAGTAACAACAGGACAATAGGCCTGCTTAGACTGGAGAAGTGTGAGAGGAAACCTCACCAATGTGAAGTCTCCCTCACCGGAAATATTCAAGAACTGTCTGGACACAATCCTGTGCAATGTGCTCAATGGAAATCTGCTTGAGCAGAAAGTTTGGGCTAGATAACCTACAGTGGTCTGTTCCAACCTTAACCATTTTATGATTTTATTACAGAGCCACAGTTCCATTTCCACTCAATTTGTGTCTCAAACCCATATAAATACAGTCTGTGTACAACTCACACAACTTTTGGAGGGCAGTAGTTTTACACATACTTTTGTCATTCGTTTTCCTGGTACAATGAATATGAACAAGAAAGTGCATTGAAGTACAATCACTTACACTCTTTGATGAACAGATAGACCAGCGTTAATACTACAGTGTGTCCACTAAACAGGAAGTCTCCACACAGGATGTGGGATCCAGTTATGGATAGACCACCACCAGAAATCAATCGCAGGATTCTCTGAACCTTCGCCTGAGAGTCTCCGTTCAACTAGAACACCAGAAAGAAGTATCATAAGTGACTTAAATAAACTTCTTGCCCAAACACATGTAGAGTCAGGGAGACAGGGATAAAAGGACAAATTATCTTAATTTTCTTCAGGTTTCTTTCACATATTCTTAAACAAATAAGCATGCATTTCCAAGTTGACAGGTGATAAAGATCAGTTTGGTAACACTAGCATTCCGTCTATACTTTCAATCTATATTCAGTCTATATTCCATCTATACACTTTCCCAGGCTATTTTAAAATATGCATTGTATGAGAATGAAATGCAGAATATACTGAAAAGGTAAACATTAAAAATTTGTAAGGTCAGATCTCTCATCACAGCAGTTGACATAATCAATGAAATCCATTAAAAACCAGTAACAACCTTGCATACAAATTCTGTTATTCTGTCCAGAGCTGACCAGTATTTCTACTGAGTAAAACCCTCAAACTCACTCCATTTTAGATTTAATAACAAACTCATTCAGGACTTAACTCCTATTTGGAGGATGTACATTTTTAAAGCATGTATCAGGACCAGCTTTTGATTTCTTATAGATACTAGGCAGTTTTATCTAGCTGTTTTAAAGTAATTCTAGAAAAAAAAAATCCAAGAAAAACAGATAACTATTTCCACAATCAGAAAACCATTCACATATTAAAAAAATCCAGAAGAATGACCATCAACAGTTTTTCCAAAGTTAAGTAATTAATCCTGGTTTCATGCTAGCAAAATGCACTTTCAGCAGACACATTTGCATTTTCCTTTGATTACCTCTTCTCACTCCTCAATACAGTCTATTACATAGTCATTCCCCAAGCTGCTAGAACAAAACCATTAAATCTTTACAATAGTGGCAGTTAAATAAAGCATTTTCAAAAAGACGCTGATTTGCAAGAGAATTATTTCATCCACTATATCCCCAAGTTGTCTCAATGTATAAGACAACAGCCATGATGCTGTAACTCAAGACTAGAGGTCTTATCCAAGAGGTGACAAATTTATTCCCCCACTAAACTGGCAATACTTTTTTTCAGTACAGCTAACACAACAGAGTTTGTTCCAAGGAATTTTAAGTCTACAACTTTTTATTAGTAACCTAAAGTGGGAGTAACAACTCCTTTATGTCACCATTTAATTCCAGTGTAATTAAATTTTTAAAATATTTTTTAAAGCTATTAGTACATCCATGTTTCTGTATGTATCAGTTCATGTACTTGTAACAAGTTCATGTACAGCTGAACTTGTTTAAGTCACATTCCTATCCATTTTGCAGGTTGGAAACCAAGACAGGCAGCTGACTTCAGGTATTGTAATAGCTCTTGACCAAATAGTGTGAGAAACTAGGCAAAGCACGTAACAGTGTGGGTTTTTACAGGGATACAGCAACAAAAGCTTGCATATCAGGCTATGAATTACAGTATTGACCTTGAGTATCCTACCACATAAGAAAAAGATATTGCTACAGTATTAAGAGTGATTAGCTTGAGCCTCAGAAGCAAACTGATTGTTTAGTAGCAGCACTATTTCAACCTAAGATGTTCTGAAAGGGAGCAGCTAAATCCATCAACAATTTGAGGCTCTGTTATCACACAATTTTGGGTTTATCACTACCTATGTTTCTGGAGACATCAACTGAAAGTAATTTGTGTTATTTAGTAATACCTGAAACATTATCTTCTATTTGATCTAAGGAGCCATCAGGACTGATGCAGGGACTAAGGCAAGAAGCAAGAGGCAAAGACTCTTACCTTAGGTGCACACTGAAAATGCATTCCAGGCACAGGTAAGGTGGTAACGTACATGGTAATACAGCGGTACAGATACAAAGTTCCTATTATAAAAAAGAACCTGCGTCCCACTATTGATCTGAAAGTAAGCAAAGGGGGAAACAGATTGAGTACAAAGTTTACATGCAGGATATTCAACAGTTACATTAGATAGCTGAATCCTTAGAATGAAAGGGCAGCTCCACCCCAGCTCTTCACCACACACTTCTCTGAATCAAATATTAAAATATCCCTCGTCCACTTTTAGTTTTGTTAGTTCCTTATACTGTGAAGCTCCCACCAATTTAAGATGGCCTCAGTCTAACTTACAGGTGTGGCCAGGCAGTTTTCCTCAACTCAGTGACCTTTCCTTTTTAGTCCCATACTATAACCCCATTCTTGACTTAAATATATGTAGTTTAAGAAAGACACAGGAGAAAACTTCTATTTAGCTGTAGAGGACAGTGGGTTCTTCCTCAAATTTGGATGAGGTTTTCTTAAACCAACATGATTTCCCCAGTTTAAACTTCCCTACTTCAGTAAACACACTTTGAAAAGCCCAATCTCAGAATTAACTTGACTAGTACAACATAGGTGTCAGAAATTCAAAATTCAAAAACATTATTCAGTAATCAGAAAACCTGTATTTCCATATTTGGCATAGACACTAGAACATTTGGTAAACAAGCCATCCCTTTGTTATTTTCCTGCCAGCCCTATTTTACAATATTGTAAAGTATTTTACTGTATGACTTCTTTCCAAAATGAGCAATGTAAACATACAGCAGAGAAAAAAAATATTGCTAACTTACTTGTATCTAAGAAACAACCACTGGAATATCCATAATCCAAGCAGTATCATTCCATTTATTTCTGATACAGAAAAAGCCCACTTCACACGATCAATGTAATCAAAAAATTTGTCAGGCAAGGGAGGGCTTAGCTCCTTTGGAGGCACTCTCTCATGGACCACAGTGATCATGACAGTTGTTAAGATCAAGTTGAAGAGAGCGTAGACAAACGCAATGCCTGTTTTCCACCATTCCAGAGGGAATTTGTTCCTAGATTCAGCAGGCATAGCAATCTGGATGTAATCAGGATACTTCTTGGCTGTTTTTCGCAAGCCATTAGACAAGCCCTTTGGTTTGCTAGTGCCATTTTGGTTCTCTTCATTGACTGAGAGAGTAGGTCGTGAGTAGCCATTAGAAGTCTCATTTGGCTGACCCTCCATGTGCTCTTCAAGCTTTGCTGTCTCAATGGTATTCATTTCCAAGCTGTATGGCCAAGGAGGCTTTATTAGTGACCAATTTCTGGGCTCTCTGAACTCTGTTATTCCTCAAAGTCAAATGTTCTTGTTCCTAGATGACTTCTGTAGAACTCTAAAATGCATCCATTGTGCTTTCGAAGGAATTTGTGAAGACAAATCTTTCTTCTAGAGCTGAATCATCTGCAAAAAAACCCCAAAACAGATACTGAGGGCCTTCATAACTAGTAATGCAACAGTGAACAAAATATTTTCAGAACAGGCATTTTTAAGTATTTCAATTCCATCATCCAAGTCTACTCAGAAACACAGTCAAAAGGCAAATTATTGTGAAATAATTCAAGCCAACTCCTACTTGATAAATCTCATATCAGTTTAAGAACTAGTACCAACTTAGGCTTGGGGTTTTTATAAAGGACAAGATCCACAGACTTTAATGATCATGACATCCCTTGCTTTATCAGTTATCAGAATTAATCCATATTTGTAGCAACATCCAAATTTGCTCCATATTTGCAGCAACATTGAATTTTACTGCTTAGAGATTTCTATACAAAACATCCTGATTTTGACCATAGGATTGCTACAGATATTAATATGGGTTGTCATATAATGGCAACCCATCAGACAAATCCTGTCAGTTCAGGTGATGGGAAAAAAAACCAGAAGGGTACTCGGGTACTACAGAATTCAACTTTGTAGGGCATGAATTAATTTAGATTCATCTAGAAAATCTACTCAATAGATAGCTCCATTAAATTTCATTAGATCTAAATGAATATTCCATCAAGTCAAAAATGCTTTTTTATAGCCATTGTAATACCCACTAAATGTCTGAAATTTCAGATAATTGAGAAATATATCCCTGGATTCGATTCTTAGTTATGGTACACTACACACAGAACAGATGACAAATGAACTTGTGTTTGTCCTTTAGCTACTTTAAAAACAAATCTATATAGATGGTTTTTAAACAGGAACAAATAGAAAGAGTCATTATTACTCAGGATTTATTTCAGGCTGCATTTGCTAATTCATAAAGGTTTTGCAAGCTAAAACCAGGTGATATGTTTTATAACAAGTTTTTCTACAAGGAGCAAAGAATGAAGTTCATCTCTAGCAAAGACATCTTGCTGTAAAAATAAAGGCCATTTCCCCATCTCTAAAGTTCTGTGAAACCACTTACTCACCATAGCTGTGATGTACCTGTTTTTCTTACTCTGTTCAGCTCCTATGACAAAAATAGTATTACCATGTACAAATTGCTCCCCATCTACCAGTAAATTGTGATTCTCTCCTATTTTAGTGGTTCCTGCAAGAGAAGTTCAACACTGCTACCCCCTCAAGTCTCTGGATGCCAACTGCAGGTTGCCAGTTTGCCACGCTTTGTGTGCAATTAATTCACCATGATGGCAGCTGGAGCTGCCAGTCTCCCTAACCATACACAACAGGACTTGCTTAAGAACATGCTGCCTGCTTACAGGACAATCTAAACTAAAGAGCCTGGAAAGTAAAGTGATTATGTTTTGATCCTTCCAGCCTCATCCCACCCAGAGAAGACATTTAACATGGTCAGCACGTAAATCTCACTGATTTTCTGGGTGCTGCTCCAACCACTGAAAAAGAGAAGTAAAAGTTCAGATCCCAAATATGAGATTCATACAAATAAAACTGAAATAGCTGAGAAGCATTTCTAAATTTATCGCTCAGCAGTGTTTCTGAAATCCACTGCCATTAGTTGACATTCTCTAAATTCCTGATCAACAAGTGTATGATAACTATCCATACACAACGCATGCAAACAATAGACACCCAAGAAAACAAGTGGTGATTTTTGATGCTTTTTCTCCCTCCTACCAATCATATCAGGATCTCTGCACCTCTAAGGGCATGTTTAACCCATTAGCCAGACCAGAACTTCTCTGATGCTTCCTACAACTAAAAATACCCTTTCAGAGTATCTACAAAAGCAACAGCCTTACTCAAAACTATACCAGAATAGTATTTCAGCTTTCACAAGTCTTTTTCTTAACATACACACACTCTTCTATTCCTTCTGTCTACTACTAAAGTTAAGCATATGACAGAACACTTTAGTGACAGTAGAGAAAAAAAACTGAACCCAATTGCTTATGTTTTGGAATGCATGTACCTAACATTCATCTACTAAGTCAAGACCCCACTTCTCACCATTCTGTTACATATAGCAGCCACTGAGGCAGCAATCAGCAAAACCTGGTAAATTTTACATCCTGTGCAGTTGAAACATTATTAGAATTATGCATTAACTGAGAGCAAACTACCTTAGTTATTTCCTTCTCTTCCCCACAAATACCTAACCTAGTGCCTAGTGACATAAGTGAAAGATTTTACTTTCAGATATTTAATGTCATCCAAGCTTTAAAGATCAAAGACTATCTGAAGTACAGATGAACAATAACATAAGAACCTAAAAAGTCAAGTGGTGCTCATGTTCTCATATTAACCTATTAAGCAAAACAATTATAGCTACAGCTTGCAGGAGAAAGTTGTGTTCCTTCCTGGTACTTTTAAATGGATTGTAAGGCATATTGATCTACCACTTCTGATGGCTCATCAAGATTATTTCAAGCAGAGTGCATACTGCAGCCAAAAGTTTGTTTACATTGATAATTAAAGGTGCTATATATCATCTGATGAGTGATGTGTAAGAAGGTAAGTGCTTTCCTTTATAGTACCTTTGCAATCTCTTTCTTCTATATTCTAAAAGAAATTAGCAACTCTATTGATGAAAAAGACAAAAGTCCCTCAGTCCCTTGCCAATCTGACTGGCCAGAGAAGTGACAGATACAGAGGACCACCAGCCTAATCATCCTCTGCTACTGGCTGTAAAAGGAACTCCCCAGAAGTGCACAGGTTCTTCTGCCAAGTTCCTGTCCTCAATTCAAATATAATTCACCACCCAAAGTGGTTCCTTTCAGCTTCATGTTGTCCTTATGATCCTTTTGATAAAATATCCATTTGATTTTTTTGTCAAATCCAAAACATCCCCATATCAAAACCAGAAGATGCCCACAAACTGCCTAGTAGAAGGCCTTCAGCAACCAGGCAGCAATGCTTATATCTGGCCATCCTGCCAACACCTAGGTCTGAAAAGCATACTAAATTGCTCTAAAATAGGGAGCAACTACTGGGGAAGTCTCAAACACACAAAAAACTAGCCAAGTAACCCAAAAGGATAAATAAAATTCCTATAAGGGATACCTCCAAGTTTTAGGAAAAAGTTTTCCTTTTGGAACCACTTCTATACCTTCTAAAAATGAATGTTACCTTATCAAGAAGCAGAGTTTCTTAAGCAGCAGCTTTACAGCAAAAATAATAACTGCCTCAAGGAACAACATTTCAAAGAAAATCTTTAGAATTAACAAGATGCTAAAAGAGGAAGTGCCGTAATATTTTATCATGAGCTCCGACCTGCTCCCATGCAAATAGCATCCCTTAGTTTTCTTCATCCCCATTAGGCTGTCATTTGAAAGAAAATAGTTGATGGGAGGGCACAGCTTTGAGACAAGCATCAGAAAGCATGTCTGCATTTGGCTCTTTATGCTAGAACTTAAGAATAACAGAGTTTTATTTAGCTTGTTAGTCATCCAATTTTCATCTAAAGGTCATTTTCACATAAAGTTAGCTCCCAAACGGTATTTCTCATCCAGTATTGGAACTTGCACATCTCTCAAAATATTTTAATTTCTATAATTTATGAAGGACTGAATAGTCACAATTTGCACAGGGTTTTCAAATAAGCCGTTCTTAACCTACTGTTTAAATACTACTTGAACAAGAATATCCAAAACAGTGAGACTGATCTATTCTGACATAAAGAGAAGCTATACTTTCATATACAAAATAGAAAATACTTCTGATAGTACTATTTTAAAGCTTTTTGCTAAGGCTGGTAATCAATCAAACATTTGATACAGCTGTATTTGGTAACTGAAGAAAAAGGGTCTGCAAACAAATTACAATTTGAAGTAACTTATCACGCAGTTACTGGCAGACAATTTTTTGCTAGCTTGTATTTTGATCAGTTAAATTTTTAGGACTATCTATGGAACTAGAACTAAAAAAGCCAGATTACCACTGTTATCTAGACAGCAATGAATAAAAACTTCCTTTTAGGGGTTTCTCCTTAATTTTGATTTTTGAAAGCATTCCAGATCTCACTATCCCTTCTTCCAGGCTATATGTTCATCTCACAGCATGCAGGCTGCTGGAAAGAATTAAAAACAAGCCCACCACCACCCAAAACCTCCAGAAGACAACTGCTGTGATGCTAAAGAATTGCAAGTAAAACAAAAGTGGATTACAGAAGTATTGTTCATTATCATCACATTATCACTTGCAGTAAATGTTAGCTTTTTTATAAAAAAAATTAGCTATTTACATCATATACAGTTATTTTCAGCAGTAGACAGAGTAGTTACTCTGTCTACCCTGAGAGGGGGATTTTGTAAGTCCCTCATTTAGGATTACTAATATGTAGTATTAGATTTAATACTAGAAGACATCTTTAAGGACTAAATCCCTACACTAAATAGAGTAGAAAAAGCTTCAAAGTTACAGGTTTTCCATTTGTAGAAACCAAGTTTTACCAGTCCTGTGGAATTCTGTTTCTTCATACCTCTTAATAGTAAAAAGTATGTTAGGTTTCATTTTCCTAGAAATTCATTACCCAGTCCCAGTGTGTTCTACAGACAGTGCCAGGTTTCTGAAACAGTATGTCCCAAAAAGCACCCAAAAAAACCCCATTTGTAGCACTACAGAATGATTTGGGTTGAAAATTACCTTAAAGGTCATCTAGTTCCAACTCTCCTGCCATGAGCAGGGCCACCTTCCACTAGAGCAAGTCCTTAGAGCCCCATCCAACCTGTCCTCAGAAACTAAACAAGCAAGGAAAAAAAGTATCTTTAAGCTCTTTTATCATTTTGAACACTGCTGAGTAGGTTCGCCTTAAGTGCTTGAAG